TGAAATTGACTATCAATAAACACATCCATGAACTCTTGCGCACAGAAAGCAACCACAGCAAGCTACATTTTATTGTGTCAAATAGCTTTACAAACTCATTCTTCCGTCTTCAGGTGACGGACTCTCAAACTCCAGTAACTACTTTACACAGGCATAAGATTAACCACGAGTGGAATCCACACGGCACTAATCAGAACCAAATTAGATAAAAGGCAAGGTATAATATATCCCCTTAATAGAACTAGAAATTGTTCTCCATGAGGACTACAATACACATATAGGATAGACTAAAATGGTGACCACGACACACTGCCATCCAAGTGCCCAAAACTAACCAAAACAAACCAGTAGTCGAGTGAAACATAGTCGAAATTCCCCAAACTCTTTACAAAAGATTCTGGTGAACCTAGGTCAATTCTAGCACACATTCTCCTAATTTCATCTATTAGAGCCGCTCATGCCGCTCGTGTCTCTCAATTATGGCTCAGCTGGCCTTGCGATTGATCAATCCCTAATTCCCAAACAAAAAACAAACAAATCCTGCCCGATAAGATCTCAGTTTGCAACTCGACTAAACCCTAACTCCGGCCTGACAAGCGAGCGAAAAACAGATCAGAGTGGGGAAGTGCCTCACCGTCGTTGCGTAACCTTTTGGACAGCGCGCCTCGGTTCTCCACCTGCGCGACAGCACCAAACTTACCCAAACAAATAGATCACAAACGAACGAGAGAAAAAAAAAAGCGTCAGAAACCAAACCCTAAGCTGAGGCCAGCGCCATAATCGAATTGAACCGTAGACAATGGGAAAAGGTACCTTAGCGGAAGCCATCGGCGACGAGACAGAACACGGCGGCGGCGGCGCCGCCGAGAGAAGGGAAAGGCCGCTGCGCGAGAAATCGAGACGAGAGAGAGAGGAGGGCTCGTAGAATTATTCTTTATTTATTTATTATAAGGATGGGATTGAATTCGCTGGGCTGGCCGCTGGCCACGCGCCGCGGTGCGGTGGCCGTGTCCAAGGGCCCCGAGCACCGAGCCCTGCGACTGCGAGCGGGCCTACAATAGCCCTGTGCCCCTGTTCATGGGTGGGTACAAACCGGTGAACCCATGGGCCATGAAATCTGTAGTGTCCATTTGCCACGCGTTACCTCCGATTGGAAAAAAATATATCCATATTACCTCCTCAAATTTCGTGAATGTCCATTTTTTTCTCATTAAACTTTAAAACCGGGTAAAATACCTTTCTCAACTTTTAAAACTATCCATCTTACTTCCTTGACCTGTTATAAACAGTTTTGAAGACGGTTTTGTCTTTTTCTTTTTTATTTATTTCGGCTGAATCTTTGAAAAATCATAGTACATCACAGAAAAATCATAAAATAAAAAATTCAATTTTGTTGGACTCCACATGAGTAGATCTCCACAGCGAACATATAATATGGTATGCTTTAGTACAAAGTTTTTGCTGTACCTTTAGATCTATGTTTTTCTGTAATTAATTAGAATAATTCATAGCTGCAGTTTCTATGGTCCAATTGTTATAAAATTTTTGTGATTGACTAATTATTGTATGATTGAACTATAGTAAAAATTTCATACACATTGGATCATGTATAGCTTAGTTATAGATTTATTTATATTTAACAAGCATTAACCTAAATAAAATCTATAACTAAGTTATACATGATCAGTATAAATTTTTTACTATGGTTTAAGCATATAATATTTAGCCCACCATAAAAATTTCACCACAATTGAACCATAGAAACTGCAGCTATGAATTATTCCATTTAATTACAGAAAAGCATAGATTTAAAGCTACACCAAAAACTTTGTACTAAAGCATATCATATTATATTATATATTCACTGTGTAGATCTACTCATGTGGAGTCTAACAAAATTGAATTTTCCATTTTATAATTTTTCTGTGATTTACCATGATTTTCCAAATATTCAATCAAAAAAAATAAAAAATAAAAAGACAAAACCGTCTTCAAAACCACTTATAACCGGGTCAGGAAGGTAAGATGAACGGTTTTAAAAGTTGAGTGAGGTGTTTTGTCCGGTTTTAGAGTTCAGGGAGAAAAGGCAAGCTTTCGCGAAAGTTGAGGGAGCTAATGTGGACTTTTTGCATTAGATTGCGATTTAGGCCCCTTTGAACACGGAATTTTTCCCTGTTCTTGCGTTTTTCCTGTGAAAAATGAACTAAATTCTATAAAAATTTTATACAATTTCTATAAAAAATCTGCATTCCTAAGAGACTCTTAAAAATTTAAAGTCCCGTCCGTGTGTGAAAAAATATAGGTTTCCCGTGTATTTTTCTTGTTTACCTTGTTAATTGTTTTATTTAATTTTAAAATTCAATGGTTCAGATTGATTAGGAGCAATTGGAACAAGGTCCTTCAACATGCGCTTCTGTATATACATAGAGAACGATGTAGGGCCTATTTGCTTTGTCCCTTGTCAAGGATAAAAAATTTCCATGCTTGATTCTTAAAAAAAATTGATTTGTGGCTAGGTCTAGGGAGACATGTCGGTGCATGGCAATCCGGTTGGAGATGTCAACGGGACTTAATGTTTCTGTGGGAAATTTCCTTATTAGGAGATACGGACGTGTGTCATTTCTCCCCACAGGTATCTTAATGGGGAAAGCTCTTTTCTGGTTTGATAAGATCGGGATGATGAGGCGTCCTACCGTCGAGAGATCCTTTTTTTAGGTAGTCCACATTCAAATCTAACAGGACATCCACCACATGTCTCAATCCATTTGTACATTTTCTAAGTCACAACACCCTAACTTTGCCTGACCAGACACCCACTCCTGCTCGTCCAGCGGCCTAGTTCCCAAGCCCTCAACCCCTCTCCTTAGCCAGTGCCCCCACCACCCTGATGACATAGTTCTCTGCCCAACACCGCGTAACTTAGCATCTCCGACAGACGCCGCACACCATGCCTCTGTCCAACGACGTACTCAACATTCCTCCGCCCCGCAACCACAAGCACGTATGAGGGCAAGATGGCGCGAGCAAGAGTGCAGGATGGCATAGGCAACCAGCTCGGCTAATGACATGTCACCGCGTCGTCGATGTGGATTTAAGCAAGCGCACAACATAAGAGTTTCACACCCTCTTCTTTGGAGAGCTCTAATGGCTTCGATTCATTCAGGGGTAGGGAACTAGGGATGCCTCACCCTTCCCCAAAAGGCATTGATAGGATTGGGCAATTTCGTCATGTACCAAAAACCAGTATCTCGTGTGCTACACATCTGATCTACGTGTGCATTACTTGTCTGAGGTCAAAAACATCAACAAACTTAGTTTGTATGTTTCAGTACGGTGGGAGAAGCCTGGTCATCAGGATAAGCATAAGAAAAGCATTTTGAGTTAGGTGTGTATCTTCTTGATTTGTGATGTTGCATAGTAACAGTGACAGCATGTAGGGTTGACATTCGCTGCCTTGCTTGTAATAATCATATGTAGGCGCTCATGTATGTAGGGTTGACTTATGGAGCTGGCGTAGCTTACGAATACTTCAGTCATTGCGTTTTGGAAAATGTGGGAAACAGCCCAACCTCTAATCCATGTGACCCACTTCTGCCGTCACAAAAAAGACTTGTCGTCATACTATGACTCAATATACGTCCATTCATTGTATGTTTCATAAAACTTGCCATTGTAGCCTTTAGATAAACAGTGGGGTCTATATCTAAAGTCGTTTGTGCACCCTTTCTTACTAATTTATTATAGCTACATGAAAAAAAAACTGAGGCAATTATTATCCGTGCGACAACCAATCTTTTTAGTTTTTACCGGAGAAGTCTATATAATAAGTAAATAGGATTATCTTGGCCACGTTAATTTGTCTGAATTTTTTTTAGACTGACGACTAGTCACTTGGGACGGAGGTAGTATCTTTTTTTAGACGACGGAATAACGAGGCCAAGATCATATCACTCCACACACGTATTATTAACTTTATATAAGTAGATGGAGTTGGGAGAAGTCAGTGCAAAAGAAGGAAGTTTTCTCGCTCAGGTGGAATTATTAAGATACTCCGATGTAAGACGTGTGCGGGGAATAATTTGCAGACCTTGTGTTGCGGACGCCGGACGGGGCGGCGGGCAAGACCGCAATGCAAGAGGATCGCTAAAGGCGGTGGATGAACACGATCCACCGACCCGTGCACTCGTATGCCCTTGGGCGTTCCCGATTCCGGCTCGACTTACCCCAGCTCTCTAATATAAGGTGGTGGGATCTGTCATCTGTGCACGCATTACGCATACGTGCCTAGCTAGCTGGAGTAGTAGCCAACGTCCGGAGTACGTAGCACCATGGTTGCCACCTCCGCCGCGTGCTCGAGGCCGTCGTCCCCCTGGTTCTCGCACTGGCTCTGCGGCTTCACGGCGGACACCGTCGTCGCCGCCGGGACCAGTACCGTCGTCGTGCCGCGCGCAGATCGCCAGCAGCCGGCGGCGGCGTCCTCCTCCTCCTCCTCCTCCTCCTCCTCGGCCGCCGGGCTAGCCTCCGCCGCGTCTCACCTGAGGCAGGTAGTATGCAGCTAGCCACCACTCCGATCTCTACTCGTCTTGCTGTTACGTGTTGTGTTCAGTTGGTGCTTTTTGTAGAATTTTATTATTGCGCTAGCCAAGTTGGAAATTGGAATCCAATCACACCATGGTGTGGATGTACGTGTAATTTACTGTGGGTTAGCCGGATAGATTACCGTAGGTTCGCTAATAAAATTGAGAATTAAGAACGCTAACGAATGGACGTTTCAAAGGCCAGATCGAGCCCCACGCCAGAAAGTCACGGCCCACTCCAATGGCTACCGAAGCCCAAAGGCCGCCGTCTAGACTTGTCTCCACGGCATCTCGGCTTTCCATTTTTACCCCCCTTCTCTCTCCTCTCCGGCCGTTGCCGTTGCTCTGCGGCGCTCTCCTCCTCCTGTCAGTAGCCGCTGCCGCTGCCGCCGACGCTGCAGGTGTGGACCCGCCGCCGCGGCCATGTTCGCCTGGATCCTCCGCGGCTGCCGCGACGAGTGCTCCGCCTCCGACCAGCTCAAGCAGGTCGGCCTCTCACTCCCCCCAAAATCTGTTTCTCCCCGTCGATTTCCAAAGAACCACACAACAGGAAAAGGAGGCCTTTCCCCCCTTTTGCCATTTGAGTCTTGAGGGTACAGGATGGGGCTAATTTCCTGTACGATCTTACCAAGGTGAATGAAGGCGTGCGGAAACTGTGAGATAGAGTGATAGACAGGATTGGACAGTTCGTGTGATGTCTCATTCTGAGGAGACTCAGTGTTGAGGAAAGACATTGCAAACGTTTTGTTTTCTTCTGAAGTGTTGTTTCCCACCCTTACATTCTCTAACTAGGACAAATTGCATCCTGCACTGGGTAGTCTTGCATTTGTGCTCACTGAACTTAAGGCTATTTCATTTCTTTCATTTTGCTGCGCTTCTAAACTAACCAAAAACTCAAAAATTACTGAATTAAATTAAAGGAGTGTGATCTGATCTGATCTGACTGATGTATTTCATTTCTCCTGCTGAATTGATCACTTACAGTATATGCTGTCTCTGCAGGCTCGTGATGTCTTCAAGGCGAAAGAGGTGGTCTTGCAAAAGAAGATTTCTCAGGAGATGGAACGGGCCAAGGAGTTTACAAAGTCGGGAAACAAACAGGCAGCAATGCAGTGCTTAAAGAGGAAAAGGTACTATGAGAGTCAAATGAACCAGGTTGGAAGCGTTCAGTTACGTATCAATACCAAGGAGAAAATGATCGCTGATCACATGGGCAACAAATAACAGAAAGTGAGAACACATCTCTGGAACTATGTATCAAACACTCCTTTGTTTTGTTCAGATGTGCAATCTTGTGAGATGTCAACCATTGGTGTGTTCCTTGCCACACAGCACATCACGCTTAACATTAGTGTGCCCTTAACGTAAGAATAAGATATTACTTTTCGGACCAGATTTCTAGCTTCCTAGGCATGACAACACTTATTTCCTAGCATGCTGTATAGTGTATATAGCGTGAGCCATACTTGTTGTTTTTCATCCACATTCTCACTGTATTCAACTGAATAACAATTAGCAAGTCATTTGATGTTTTCAAAAAAAAATTGGCACTCTGCATAGAAGGGTTACAAGATGGTATTTTCTTGAATTGAAATAGAGATCGTGTATTCCTTTCTTTACAGGCGCTCTGGGGCAGCAGAGAGTAAATCCATGAATCTTGATTAGTACAAGTTCAATCATGTTATTGCGATAGCCTATAATAATTGGAGAGGAAGCTGAACGTTTTCACTCTCTCTATCTAAGCACAACACTGTGCATGTGAATATCCACCCTAGTGGATCTATTACTGTCTTCGCTTCCAGATTTTCCACTGCTGTTGTTTCTAATTGTCGGAGACCAATACTAGGGTACCCGAAGAGAATGAGCTAATGACCATCAACATTGATTCATCCGAGCAGTCAAGAGCGCGACTACAGCTCCAACCGACCCCAGGCGCGCAAGCTCCGCCTCGCCCGACCCCGAGGTCGCGGGCTCCGCCTCGCCCGATCTCTGGGGGAGGGCTTCGCCTCGCCCGACACCGAGGCCGTGGGCTCCGCCTCACCCGACCTCTGGTGGTGGACTCCGCCTCGTCCAACCTCCAGAGGCGGACTCCGCCTCGCCCGACCCCTCAGGGAGGGCTCCGCCTCGCCCGACCTCTGGGGCGGACTCCGCCTCGCCCGACCCTTGGGTTTGCGCTCCGCCTCACCCGGCCTCTGGGGGAGGACTCCGCCTCGCCCAACCTGAGGTCGCCGGCTCCACCTCGCCCGACCCAAAGGCCGCGGACTCCGTCTCGCCCAACGGAGACCCATGCCGCCGCCAACCACTCCAGGTCCAAGCGTATGGGCCTGGGTCAAAGCTCTGACACCAGGGAAGAGACCGGCACGCCCCGATGTAACCCGTGGCCACGGGGGGGCATACCGGAGGGTTCACATCAAGAACAGCGTCGGGGGTACCGGTGTTGTTCTGCCTAACCCCTGTACGAACACTAGCAGGCGCCTCAGCTCACCACGACGTCTGCTGCGACGGAATGGAACGCCATGACCGGCAGACGACGCCTGCGCGTGGCACCAGTGGCGGACGGGGCCGCGACGTGGAGCTATCCCTGTTGACATCTACAGGGTCGGTGGGACCCGCATGAAGGATAAGAAGGACCCGACGGTCCTGAAGGCCGTCCTCTCCCTCTCGTTTCTTCTCTTTTCCTTCGTTGTAACCCGTACTTTTCCTTGGTCTATAAAATAAAAAGCAGAGTGTCCCATGGAAAAAGACTTGAATCGATCGATTGAGGCCAGACCCGATCGAACCACCACGAACCCATAGAACCTCGAATCGATCAGAACACAACACAAGCACACGGCTGAGCAGCAACCGAGCTCTCGGTACCCGTTCACTCTTTCCACCAGAGACTTGGGACATGTCCCTCTCTCGTTCGTTTGTAACCCATACTACAAACTTTCAGTGCTAGTAACACGAGCAGCAACGACGAACTGGACGTAGGGACATTCTGTCCGAACCACTATAAATCCCGTATCCTCTAAGCACATCATCCGAGCCAGACGCACAATACTAAAAATTTATTCGGTGGTGGTAACTCGAAACACCGACACTAACGTAACGCAAATTGTATTGCTGTAGTGCTCCCTCCGTGTTACTATGTGACCTGGTCCTAATTTCTTTTTTGAACAAGTACATAACCTAATATCTTTTTTCAACAAGTACATACCAACATTTCGTCGAAGAATTCAGATTTGCCTTTTCTTCTCATGACGAAAAAGATGAAACTTTGGAAAGAAAATGCATATAATCTGATATTCATTTCAAAATGGGCTATCGAACACAAAACAACTTGTTGCGTATGTATTCTTCATATCTCGTAAAAGTTGGTTCTCTTGCAGAGTAAATGATGGCAGTTTGTATACCTGAGCAGCTACGCTAACCTCTAAAACAGCAAGTCAGCAAGCCTCGAATCAATCATGTAACATAGAGATAGCCTTGTCCTTCTGTTATCGTTCAGTAAACTACACTGTAAACACTCTCTTTCCTGTCATTTACAACGACAACAACGTAGCCTTTCGGTCAAGTAAGTTGGGATACCCCATCAAGAGCTCCAAGTCACGGTTCAGCCACTTCAATAGCTGTTTTACTAGCACTCCTATTCAAACATAGATCTCTAAGTATTTTCCAAGCTTTTAAATCTCTTTTTATTGCCTCCCCTTATGTTAATTTCGGTCTTTCTCTACCTCTCCTCGTATTATTAGCTTGGCTTAGACTTCACAATGCACTGGTGCCTCTGGAGGTCTCCTTTGGACATGGCCAAACCATCTCAACCGATATTGGACAAGCTTTTCTTCAATTGGTGCTACCCCTAGACGATCACGTATATCATCGTTCCGAACTCGGTCCATTCTTGAGTGACCACAAATCCATCGCAACAACGTATTTCTGCAACACTCAGTTGTTGAACATGTCGAATCTTTGTAGGCCAACATTCTGCTCCACACAACATAGCCGGTCTAATCGCCGTTTTATAAAACTTGTCTTTTAACTTTTGTGGTATCCTCTTATCACAGAGAATATCAGAAGTTTGTCGCCACTTGATCCATCCTGCTTTGATTCTATGGCTAACGTTCACATCAATATCTCCATTCCTATGTAGCATCGATCCCATATACCGAAAGGTATCCTTCTTAGGCACTACTTGACCTTCCAAACTTACATCTCCCTCCTCCTGTGCAGCTCCGCCAAAGTCACATCTCATGTATTCGATTTTAGTTCTACTCAATCTAAAACCTTTAGACTCAAGGATCTGCCGCCATAACTCTAGTTTCCTATTTACTTTCACTTGGCTTTCGTCCACTAACACTACATCATCAACGAACAATATACACCAAGAAATATCCCCTTGTATGTTCCTGGTAACCTCATCCATTATCAAGGCAAAGAGATACGAGTTTAAAGCTGACCCTTGATGAAGTCTAATTTTAATCGAAAAGTAATCTGTGTTACCATAGTTTGTTCGAATATTAGTCACAACATTGTTGTACATGTCCTTGATGAAGGTCACGTACTTTTTTCCCCTAAACTTTCAGTTCAGCGTGATGACAATCTGTGTGAAAGTTTTCAACTTTGGATAGAATTTTCATTATCTTTGCGCCCTGTAATAACAAAACTTAGCCCTTTCTAGCCGTAATGTTATCCTGAATGGATGGTTCACTGTGTTAGAAGTGAATGTAAATGAACAAGATGTGGAAGAACACTTACTCTCATTGATCTCGGAAATATATTTATACAAATGGAGGAGTGTCACGAAGGGACACGACTATTCCCAAAAGACATGCCCTTTGTAACTAAAATTAACTGTCTAATCCTATCCACTAATTCTGTGCTTGATGGATGAGATCACTCGTGAAGAGACGCATGTTCGTCTGTAGACGTCCATTCGTGTATAGGTGTCGTTTCACAACACTCCCCCTTGATCGAATCTTCCTTAAGATCAATGCAGCTGTAAGTTGAAATTCCTCAAAAAACCCTATGGGAAAAATCTAAGGAATATATGATATGCCATAAAAACTCCTTTAAACCTTATTGCAAAATAAGGAGAAAATAGCATATTTATTTGTGATTTAAATAAACCACTATGTCATTGGTATCCCATTAAAAACCCCAACGGAGAAAATATTAGAGATACGATATAAAGATAACTCCCCCAAAAACCTTTTGGGAAAAATATGAGGAGCAATATAAAGTGATATGACGCTAAAACTCCTGGGAAAATTAGGAGAAAATGTGACGACATATTATTGGTATTGTCTCTTGGATAACTCATATGAAAAACCTTTTCAGAGAAAAACCATGAATGAGTTGTGAGGGCAATATATGTCTTTGATATTTCCTATAAAAACCCTGATGAGAAAAATAGAAAATATGACACAAGCTTATGTTAATATTATCTTATGAAAAACTTTAACAAGAAACCTTATGAGTAAAACTTGTGAAAGAAAAGAGTATAATATAATACTGGTATAGGTCAGTATCTAGGGGATGTCTTCTCCTGATTCTTGCAAATTTTGAAGTCGTCGCATACCAATCTTATGTAGATTTTTTTGAAACATAGAAGTTGGTAAGGACTTAGTAAATAGTTCAGCGAGATTATCGCATGCGGTGATTTGCAAGATGTTTATTTCCCTATTTTCTTATAACTTATGGGGATAAAACAGCTTAGGAGCAATGTCCTAGGCAGAGTGTCTTCACACTCAAATTTGGTCAAACTAAAAGGTGGCAATTAAGGAGATTGCTCTTGTTCAATGATGAGAAGTATTACCACAGTAATATCTTCCCTCATAGAGTTTCTTTTCAGAAGTAAGGTGGTGAACAATGAGAGCTTGTAGTATATGGTTTCACGCAGAGACCCAGCATAGCATACCCTATGGTATGTGTGAAAATGAAGTTTTTCAAATTCAATAATTGGCATATCAAATGAATTTGATAGATTCAGACGTATAAGTCCCAATGGATTTCATATTCTGAATCCAAATACAAATCGCAACATACATTGTGTATAATTAAGCATGATTACGTATATTGGTTATTTTGATATCACCATGATACAGAAATAATTATGCAGTCATTTGAGATACAATTTCCATTATGTGGATTCGAGATGGAGGATTTGGGTAAGACCAAATATTGCCTAGGCTTACAGCTTGAGCACCGTCCTTCAGGGATTTTGGTGCATCATTCAGCCTATA